TGCTGCTGCGGCTGGTCAACAGCAACAGCTTCCTCCGGGTCCCCAACAGCTTCAGGGTTCTTCTCCATTAGTGGGTGGTTCTCCTCAGCCTTTACCCCCCCAGCAGCCACCTCAGCAGCAGCAGGACCCAGCAGCTCAGCAGCAGCTAGCTGGTGTGCAGCAACAACAAGTTCCCCCACAACAACAGCAGCAACAGCAGCAGCAACAGCAACAGCAACAGGTGTCACAGCATACACCTACAATACCTTCTAGTTCTCATCCTACATATGTTTCTCCTTCTTTATATATTGGTGATCTTCATCCTGATGTAACAGAAGCTATGTTATTTGAGGTATTCAACTCTGTTGGCCCAGTAACATCTATTCGTGTATGTAGAGATAGCGTAACGAGAAGAAGTTTAGGTTATGCATATGTAAACTATCAAACATTACAGGATGCTGAACGTTCTCTAGATGCTTTAAATTATACTTTAATACGAGGACAACCATGCAGAATCATGTGGAGCCAACGAGATCCTAGCTTGAGAAAGAGTGGAAACGGAAATGTATTTGTAAAGAATCTTGATCGTAGTATAGATAATAAAGCTTTATATGATACTTTTTCTTTATTTGGGAATATATTAAGTTGTAAGGTTGGTGTAGATGAGGCAAATAGAAGCAAAGGATATGGATTTGTACACTATGAGAGTGAGGCATCAGCAAGAAATGCTATAGAAAAGGTGAATGGTATGCTTATAGGAGGAAAAACTGTATATGTTGGGCCTTTTGTTACACGATCAGAAAGAGAAAATGCTGGAGTAAATAGATATACAAATTTATATTTAAAAAACCTACCGAAATGTTGGGGAGATGCAGATACACTGCGGCCTATACTATCACCCTTCGGTGAGATCACGAGCTTACTCGTGAAACAAGACCCCAAGGGCCGTCTCTTTGCTTTTTGTAATTTTGCTGAACATGCAGCAGCTAAAGCTTGTGTACAAGCACTCAACGGAAAGATAGTTACTCCAGAGGGTTTCAAGGATACCTCATCATCCTCTGCTGCTGCTGCTGCTGCTGGCGGTGCTGCTGCTGCAGCAGATGATGCTGCAGCAACAGCAGCAAGGGAAACTTCAACTGCAGAAGGGGAAACAGAAGAAACTTCACCAGCAGCAGCAGCAGCAGCTAAAGCTAAGGATGCTGCTGCAGCAGCAAATAGCAGCAGCACGAACGGCAGCAACAGCACAAACAGCAGCACATCGAATGGTGTTGCAGCAGCAGCAGCAGAAGGTGGCGACAGCAGCAACAGCAGCAGCAGCAGCAGCAGTGACGAGATGGTATTGTTTGTGGGTCCTCACCAGTCTCGAGCTCAGCGTGCTGCAGCATTACGTATGAAATATGAGCAGCAGCAGCAAGAAAGAGGAGAAAGATATAGAGGAGTGAATCTATATGTAAAGAACCTAGACAACAGCGTTGACGACGATAAACTAAGAGAGTTATTTGAGCCTTTTGGCCCCACAAGCAGCGTAAAGGTGATGAGAGATGAAAAAGGAATATCTAAGGGTTTTGGTTTTGTTTGTTTTGTTTCTCCGGACGATGCAAGCAAAGCAGTAGCAGAGATGCACTTAAAATATATAAACGGGAAACCCCTATACACCGGGCTAGCAGAGAGAAGAGAGCAGCGGTGGCAGCGACTGCAACAAAGGTTTAGGATGCCGCAGATACGTCAGGGTGCTTCTGCTGCTGTTCCTCCTCATGTAGGTTATCCTGGTGCTGCTGCTGCTGCTGCTGCTGCTGCTCTCCCTGGTGTTGCTGCTTACCAGCAGCGCGCAATGATGTATCCAGCACAGTCTCATATGGCTGTGTTGCCGTGGGCGGGTAGACAGCAGCAGCAGCAGCAGCTGCAGCAGCAGGGGCTAGCACTACAGAGAGGCATTCCTCCTGCTGCTCTGCAGCACATATACGCTCCTCAATCTGCTGTTGCTGCAGCAGCAGCTCTTCAAGTATCACTGCAGCAGCAGCAGCAGCAACCTATAATGCAGCAGCAACGAGGAGCACCTGCACACAGAGCACCTAGAGGAGGAGCAGCAGGAAGCGCGAAGCAGCAGCAGCAGCAGCTATTGAAGCAGCAGCAGCAGCTACCTGGTGGTGGTTCATTTAAATTTACCCCACAAGTAAGAAACCCCCGTGTAGAGCAGCAGCAGCAGCCGCAGCAGCCCCCACCACCTCTGCATATACAGCAGCAGCAACAGCAGCAGCAGCAACAGCAGCAACAAGGCCCACCAATCGACGCAGCTCACGTTCTTCTTTCCCCTGAGGCACCACTAACAGCAGCAGCACTAGCAGCAGCACAGCCTAGCATGCAAAAACAAATGCTAGGGGAGAGGCTATTCCCCCTCATCGCTCGCCACCAGCCAGAGCTAGCAGGAAAAATAACCGGAATGATGCTAGAAATGGATAATAGCGAACTGCTTATTTTATTAGAAAGCGAAAATCAATTAAAAAATAAAATCGAAGAAGCGTTGGGGGTACTCAGAGGGGCTAACTGAGTTTATATATATATGTGTATATATATATATATATATATATATATATATATATATATATGTATGTATGTATGTATGTATGTATGTATGTATATGTATGTATATATGTATATTTATATATATATATATATGTGTGTGTGTGTGTGTGTGTTTATATGCGTATGTATATGGGTATATATTTATATATATATGCATATACTCACAAACGAAGTCCTGCTGCTGCTGCAGCTGCTGTTGCTGCAGCAGCAGCAGCAGCAGCAGCTAAAGGAACAGTGGCAGCAACAACAACAGATGGTGCTGCCGCTGTAGCGGCAACAGGAAGAACAGCAGTAGCTGTTGTTGCTGTTGCTGCTGCTGTTAGCCGCAGCAGTAA